CCCTAAACCCTAAACCCTAAACCCTAAACCCCAAACCCTAAATCCCAAACCTTAACCCAACGGCCTTGCAGCAGGCCGTATGGATTAGGTGCGAGGCAGCGCTAAGGTGAAGTCTTTAGAGTCTACGGGTTAGGGTTCAGGGTTTAGGGTTTGCGGTTTAGGGTTTAGGGTTTAGGGTTTACTCTGCTGCAGCTTGCTCTCGATGACGGGCAGCGAACCACCGCTGATGCATTTGAGAGCCCAAGAGCGAACGGCGGTCAGAGGCCAGGTACCCTAAGCAGCAAACCCTAAACTCTAAACCCTAAACCCTAAACCCTAAACCCTAGTCCCTAGAGAGCAATGCGTAGCATGTGTTGCATTCCTGTCATTGGCTTTTTCTCACTTAAATTTTCCACCATTAACAGCCTTGAACCCTCATTGTTAAACCGTAAACCCTAAACCCTAGACTCTAAAGACTAAACCCTAAACCGTAAACCCTTAACACTATGGGTTCCTGAAGAGGTGAAACCCTAGATCCCACCCCTAAACACTAAGTCCTAAGTCTTAAACCCTAAAAGTTAAGCGCGATGACCCACGTAGTAATAGCTAAACCCTCAACGCCAAACCCTAAAGTCTAAACCCTAAACCCTCAAGGGACACACGCTGGTGACATACGGGGCCCTGAAGAGCGGGGCCCCTGGGGCTGCTGGGAGAGCGATGGTTTAGGGTTTGAGAGGTTTAGACATTTCGGATTGCAGAAAAAACCTCAAAAACCATTTAAGTCGTGTAACAAACCCTAAACCCTAAACCCTAGAAGAAGGATTTGACTGAAGTGGGATTCGAACCCACGCCCGCGAGGACTGCGGCCTGAACGCAGCGCCTTAGACCACTCGGCCATCCAGCCGATGGCCGTTGTAAACCCTAAACCCTAAACCCTAAACCCCACACCCTGAAACCCCTCCCTAAACCCTAAAAAAGGTTCTGACTGAAGTGGGATTCGAACCCACGCCCGCGAGGACTGCGGCCTGAACGCAGCGCCTTAGACCACTCGGCCATCCAGCCGATTTCCACACCTAAACCTTAAACCGTAAACCCTAAACCCTAAACCCTAAACCCACTACCTTAGACGCTACCCTCTAAACCCTTAACGCTAAACTGAAAACCCCAAACCCTAAACCCTAAATGCTAAACCCTTTAATCACTAAGGTGCTTTGCTGGATTTATGATATTTTGTTGTGGCTCCTAATTAGGGTTTAGGGTTTCGCCTCTGCAGGCACCTCTGGCCGCCTAGGGTTTTGGGTTTAGGGTTTAGGGTTTAGGGTTTAGGGACCTTGGAAGTGGCACTGAAGGGGTCTTTTAGGGTTTACTGCGGCGACCTCTTCATTTTCCGAAGGCTTTAAAACTAAACCCCAGGGCGGCAAGCCCTGGGCTGGCTGATATTCAAATAAATTCCTGCTGCTGCTGCTGCTGCTGCTGGCCTGCTGCTGGTGCTGGGGTTTAAACAACAGCTTCATTTTGTACTGTCGCAGTTTGTCTGCTGCAGTGCACACGGGGGCGTGTGCTGCTATATAATCGTAGAAGGAAGGAGCAGATTGCTGCAGCTGCTGCTGCTGCTCCTGCTGCTGCTGCTGCAGCTGCTGCTCCTGTTCATGCTGCTCTAGCTGCTGCTCCTCCTGCTGCTGCTCCTCTTGCTCCTGCTCCTGCGGCTGCTCTTGCTGCTGCTGCTGCTGCTGGTCTTGCTGCTGTTCTTGCCGCTCCTCCTCCTCTTCATCCTCATCCTCTTCACTCTCCGACTGCTGGTGCTGCTGCAGTTCTTGCTGCTGCTGCTGCTGCTGCTGTTGCTGCTGCTGCTGCTGCTGTGGGTCCCAAAAGGCAGAACCAGGAAGAGGTATTTCTGTGGGCTCCTGAGGGCACCCTCCTGAGCAGCTTGCTGCTGCCAGCTGCTGCTGCTGCTGCTGCTGCTTTTGCTTCTGCCGCGGTTGCTGCTGCTGCTGCTGTTGCTGCTGCTGGTCAGGGCAGCAAAATGAAAGGTACCATTTGTAGACGTCATCTAACTGCTGCATTTGGTTGCTGGGGTCGTTGGGCTGCTGCAGCAGCAGCAGCAGCCGCTGCAGCTC